AAAACTAAATTTGTAAGTAGTCCTCACCTGTGACGACAGCTAATCTGGAAGAGTCATCTCAACATCTGAAAGTGACAGTCTGAGGTTGACAGAGAAGCCTGCAGTATAGGCGGAGAACAGGAACACATGGGCAGGTTGAGGTTCACTTCCCTCAGAGGTTTAGGCTGATGGTGTACTAGAGAGATCAAAGAACATGGTCCTCGCAGTGCTCAATTTGCAGGCAACATGTTTAGTTGAAAGGAAATTAGCAGTTAAGTCATTTAATTTAATCAACAAGACATGAAACGATTTAAAAACTCAGATGAGTGTTAATTTTTTAATGGGACAATAAAACAATGAACCTTAAAAAATACACATTCAAAAAAAGCTATTATAGACTATATCCAAAGTTAATAAAAGTGATCTTCTGTTTTAATGCAGTACTTTGCAAAGTCTGAAGGCAGGTATTCGTCATTATTACTGCTGCTAAGGTCTCAAGGCCAGCAGAACAGCACACAAGCATTGACTTCTTATTCAGAAATATGGACCTACCTAAATATAGGATTTTAATTAATGCTACTTTTTATATAGGATTTCAACTATAATGTGTAAAATGATTCATTTCTATTCATTTAGATAGCTTTGATGGCTGTGCCAGTGATAGAGTCTCATATCAAATTAGATTGAAGCAATTAGATTGTACTAATCAGTGAATAAATGGGTTTTAAAACTATGAATTCTGGGTACAAATGCCAGAAACAATATCTATATGTTAACATCTTAAATTTGCTTTTAGCTTTATATTTCATAAAGTAAACAACAAAACTTTAAAGTCATAGGGAGGTCATATTTAAATATCAAATAATTCTAGCTTAAAAATATGGAACAGGATTAGGGCCACTGAAAAAACAAAAAAGTTAACTGATTTTTAAATTTTATTTCAGTAGAATATTTGACTTTATTCTCAGAATTCTGACTTTAATCTCAGAGTTCTGACTTTTTTCTCAGAATTCTGACTTTAATCTTATAATTATGGATCTTAATGTGGATGGGCACCATGAAGAAAGAGATGTCGGAGCCCTCAGCTTCACTGACAAAGATGTGAGTTGTTTAGATGGGCCAGTAACACATTGGAGAGAAATGACGAAATTAGGGCAACTTTTTGAGTGCCCGAGGGGTCTCCGGTGATGATATTTTGTTAATGGAAGAGCAGAAGATGATTAAAACAAGAGAGCTAATGTCTAAAACATACATGGCTACAGCTTGATGCTAACATGTTTGTTAGCTGTCAGAATTCTGAGAAAAAGTCAGAATTTCGAGATTAAAATCAGAATTTTGAGATTAAAGTCAGAATTCCAGAAAAAAAAAGTCAGAATTCTGAGATTAAAGTCAGGATTCTAAGAAAAAAATCAAAATTCTGACTTTTCCCATATTAAACCAAAATAAAATTTAAAAGGTTAACTTTTTTTATTTTTTCAGCGGCCCTAATCTTCTTTCATATAAACATGTATATAAATGTACTCTTTATCAGACTATATTGTCCCAAAATGTAGAAAATGTCTAAAAAAAAATCCTATCTAAAGATCTGTGTTTTTCCCGTTATTTTATCTTCGTTAGTTTGCTTTAATTTAATGACTCCAGTACAGCTTCTGCTTAAGACAGTTTTGGACTGGACGGGTTATACCCAAATAGGAAATGTTACTTAAAAGCTGCTCTGTTCGGTAAAAATATATTTTTATCTGTTTAAATTAAGAACAGATTGTGTCCGTTCTAAATTATGAAATCAACAAGAGGTCAGGCTGCCGGGCGCGCATGCGCAGTGGGCTGTTACATTACCCGCGCCGGTGGTAATGCAAGCAAGAGAAATTCAACTGCGTGGTTTGGAGCAGACAGGCGGAGGCGGCTGTTTCTGCGCAGTCATAGGATTTAAAGCTACGTTTTCACTCAGCCTGACACATAGTGACTGGAGAACAGGTAAGAGGCTTTATTCTTCTGGACAGGGCGCATATCCGAGCATATACCGCCGTTAGGAGGCCCTCTAAGTGGCTCTGCACAAACACTTGGTGATGATGCCGCATGTCGGCTTGGAGAGTTCAAAACAAACGTGACGAAGTAGATAATTAAATGTTCCCTGACCGCATATATTTTGCTTTATTTACTCGTTCTACACCTACAAACGCTTTGTTGTGCAATTATTATTAATTTTCACTGTACGAGTCACCGTAGAGGTGAGCGCGCTGTCTCAGTTGGAGAAGTTTACTGTTTGGCATTTCCACGCTGCTAGTTGGCGGTTGGAAAAGTACGAGGAGGTAGGCCGTAGCGCGAGGCCAGAGAGTGCAGATGAGTGATGGCTCCGCGTCCAATCAGAAGCGAGCTAAAGCGAGAACCCGCCCACTTTACACCGGCTCGACCAATCACATTTCTCCATCTCAACGACGTAAAGCTAGCTTGTCTCCTGCTGCGCCCTGTGGTTATAAAACACCGGACAATAAAGTGCCTCCAGTAGGTGAAGTGGTCACCAGCAGCCCGCCTGGGCACTAAAAACATGTTTATCTCTAGTTTGTGTCTGTATGAATAAAAGCACACACCTGTTAACGTTTGAGAGCTGATCGTAGACATAAAAAAATGTATTCGCAGGTTTCTTTGTGGCTTTTAGAAAAAGAAAAAAATGGTTATGATACTAAATATGTACTCCTATTTAATCCCCTTAAATTACAAATAATTGTCTCTGATCTAATTTCCCGTTAATCCGGCTTCATCCCCGCCTGTCTGGCATCGATAGGCCTTAAAAACAGACGAGTTGATTTTTAAATGGGAATCAATAATGAGATTATTATGATTGCGCGCTTTAAAAAGTATCTGGATATCGTTATAATAATCCCAGCCTTTGTCTTCTATTGTGTCTGTACGTAAAATGGGCTGAGCAGAAAACACGTGGGCTGGGCAGCGTGGAGACATCCGGTTTGTAGGTTGCGGTGTGTTTCATTAAGCATCGCCAGCTATGGCGAACAGGAATAATCGGCTGTACGCGGGACAGAAGTAAGATGCTGCCTTTCTGTCTTAATCCCTGGTTTTTAGTTAATTTATTTAAAGGGCGCCGATGGGCTTTATGTTCGACAGAGGAAGCTCTGTTAGAGGAGGGAGGTTGCGGCTTTCTACTCCCAACGACTGAATGAACCTCCTTCTTCATTTCGTTTTTTTTTAAAGGCTGAATAGGAATGCATTAAAGGTATGCATATGTATATATAAGAAGTGGACTGGAACAGAGCATTTTATGTAGTTAAATGTGTTGCAGGATCAGCTTGGTGCATAATTGCTTCCTGGCTGGATTGAATAGTCAAAATGGACCAATGCATTTTTTTCCAGAAATGTCTTTTCATTACTTATTGCCTGACATTATAGCATTTTGGGGTCGCTGCATGTCACGCACATCCTTATTTGAGTATCTATTGCTAAACATCTTGTATTTGCTACATATTCACCATCATTTCAGGGGCATGGCTCACCTCGGGAATCCAGTTTTCCTCTGCTGTTAATAATGGCAGCCTCAAACCAGGCATTTTCTAGTCATCAACTTGTTAATTTTCTTGCTGCAGACTCGCCTTCTAAATGGATTTAGCTATATCAATAGCTTAGATTAGATAGATAGGGGCGCAGAGATAGCAGTTTCTGGCCAATCACAGAATCTCAATGGATACTATATATATATATATATATATATATATATATATATATATA